CCAAAATAAATGAAAATGAATTCACCTGATAATATGAAAGTACAAAATTAGTCAAATTATGGGAAATATCACGTCGTAGGTACTGTCGCTATGCAGTGAACGAAAGGTTTAGAAGCATAGTCCAATCTCAGCTGAAATTAGTGATTTGAAATAATATTTCATGGATATTGGCTTTATGATATTATCATAAAGCCAATATCCATAAAATAAGGTCGATATTTTTTTTGAGAATTCTTATGAAATTAATAATGCGATCAAATAAAATCAACTCGTTGTCAAAAGTGTTCAAAAAGAAAAGTTAAAAGAAAATATAATAAGGCTTGCGATAAATCGACTGTTGTGTTAAATAAAAACGCTTTAAAACTTTTGGAACATAAAAAGAGTTACCGACTCGTGATTCGTATCGTGTGAGGTTCAGCGTGCGATGGGAGTTCTATTCTATAATTAGAAAATGCTGCTTCTATGCTTTTTAATATTACATAACACACTCGTTGAAGGACATTTCCGTTCGCTGATCTAATCAAATATCTTTTAGCTACCGTTTTCTCAAAGCATTGTTTGACGTCACTTATTGTCATAAAGAGCACGACTTTTACACGTGCCACGAAACACAAGGGTAAGTTTCAAAACATCGTGTCATTTGGTAATAATACATTACTGAGTTGATATCTACCATAAAGTATCACAAAGACATTTCAGTAAGTTTGTTGTGATATGATACATTCGCGTTATTTTCAAATTAATTGTTTAACATTATTTTAAGTTTAAAGTAGGTTGTCTAATTTAGGTACCACGATGTAATTTTAAGTACATTATTAGGTTTTTCTTCATAATATGGGCTACTGTGCAATACTGTGCATCAAAAACTATGGGATATTATGAAGATAAATAAAAAGTATAATTATTATGTAATACCGAAAATCCAACATCACATATTATAATCGAAATTTTAAATGAAAAAAAATACAACTTCAGTAAAATTTACCGTCAGTTGAAACAGGAGTCACGGCGCGTTGTGGTTTATGAAATTGTGGTGAGATGCTAGCGCATCGTGAAGTGCGGTCATATAAAAGTATTGTAGGTATTACTTATAATTATGTACATAGGGTATAGATTCCAAGTGTCCAGTATTGATGTTGAACCCATCTAGTAAAGTTGTTCATGTTCATTCACATTTGATACTATAAATTGTTGGACAATCGTGTCTATTACGTCTATAGGGTGTCTTTTTTTAAGTATAGCTCAAACAAAAAGGGTTGATTCTACTGCTCAAATGCAACAATTTTCCTAAGAAAAGGAAGTTCAAATCTTGAAAAAAAAAAAAACTTTTCCATACAAATTCAGCTAAGTAGTTAGTGTGGGGACGTCAATTTTTTTTGAGAATTTTGATATTGTTTTGTAGGAAAGTTGTTACATTTGATCCAATTCCATACTTAAAAACATCCTGTATATAAGATGCCTCGGTGTTTAAATTTATTTACCATAAGTAGATTACAAAATTTTTGGACATTTCACAATAATATTAATAGATTAAAAAATTACAAAACAGCATTGTCTTTTTGGTCCCTTACAGTTATATTCGTTCAAGTTATCATACATACAAACATTTTCACATGCACATACAATACTGTAGTATAAACCGTGATATAAGTAAACTAAGTACTAATTTCTGTAAGATATAAGGTACTTATTAATATAATAACGCATTATTAAGTAGTGGATTTAACATTAAGTATATTTTGTTATGAATTCTTAAATTAATTTAAGATACAAATACATTTTACTTGCGAGTTTGCGTATGTTGTACATACTTTAATTTTTATTGTATTTTTCAGCGTCCCAATTGATAAGTATTAAACTCAAGCAATTCCATTTTTTTTTCAAATTATGTTTTAGTTCGAGTTGCGACTCTTACTACTAAAAAAATATGATTGCGTTTAAACATTTAAGTAGGTATATTATATTTTTAACCCTTAAGTAACATCCTTATTTTTGGTTACACTTTGAACACCCTGGGGCAAAAAATTACCCCAAACGGAAATTGAAAAATTTTAAGTAAATATTTAAAATCAATTTAATTTTGTGATTTACAATGTATTAATGGACTCACTGAATTATACGATTGCTTTAAAAGAACGTCTATCTAGCGAAAAGAAACACCTTAAATCAATCATAACAAAAAACAAATAATTTGTCATTGGCAACCAATAGTCTCCACAATGGTCTTCTAGAAAAATCTTGGAAAGTTATTGTGGGAACCAAAAACTTACACTAATCGGACATTAAATTGATGTTTTATGCATATTTTAAACACAAAATGAAATAAAACGAAAATTTCTGGATTTATAATAAAGCAAAATAAAAAAACTATTTTTTTTATAAAATTATGAAAAAAATATTTAATAATATTTTTCATTTATTTTAGAAAGAAAGNAGAGTCAATAGGCTAGTTGCCTAAAAAAATTTTTTTAGTCCGTAATGTTTAATATCAAAAAATATTGGACACATACATTTTTATTTGTCAATCTAACAAATAATTACATAGTTATGGTGCCTTGAAGTTGCGCACGACGTCACAACGTGCGGCATTTTTAAGCAAGCGTTGACGTCACGGGCCTCTTCTTATGAATTTTATTAATAATTATTTTTTTTAAAACACATCAGACACGCTGAATTACTGCGTAATTATCACTTTTGAGCCCTATTTCTGTGTCGAATTTATGAACACTCTGTTCTGAGGGGATGTCTTAAAAGTTCGAAAAGTATCATGTAAACAAGCTCTAATTATCTCTCTGCATTCTAGAGACAATGTGCTACTTAATCGTCATATAAATATTTACTCATTTTGTTTCAATGTTGTAAAAACCTATTAATAACATGTTAGGTCACGATAAATTAAAGTATGCGTAACTAACACCCTGGGGTAAATTTCTGCCCCACATACCTGTACAAGCCAAACGGATGATTTTTTTCACATCCCGCATCTACGAGCTTAAAGCGCACACTCTGGATTGAGAATACACAAAACGACATTGCACTAGCTACGCTAGAAAAAAAGATATGTCAATTTTTATGCGCCTGGGGTAAAAAATTACCCCACGGTGTTACTTAAGGGTTAACTAAGCCGTCAATTAAATAACAAGATTTTTTTACTCACAAGTTTCACAACATACCTTGAAAACTGATCAGTTAATGTAGTTTCAGAAGTTTAAAACTGAAGGTAACACCTACTCTATCAATTCCTTTGAAACAGATACTCTTTATAAAATTATACGTTCTTTTATTTGCTAGATAAAGTATACATTGGTATTTTAACAAGAATAGTCTTTCAAGCATCGCAATGACGTTTTTGTACATCGTAAATAAATTATTCTAATTAGGTGCAATTTACATAAAAATAGAAACAAGACATTATGACGCAATTAGAAGCGATAACATTTGCCTATGATTGGTCACATATTTTATACGAGATTAAATAAGTATCAACACAAGCCCAAGTGTGTTGTGATCGTTTGAGTTTAGGCTAGTTTTGGGGCTTTTTGAGTTCGCGTTTTACACGAACAGATTTAAAAAAAATGCTCTATTATAGTGAAATCAGAAATTCGACATAACTTAAGAAGCGACAATAGCACAATGTTGTCGGTGTCGGACTGGCCGAATAGACGAACCCGATTACCCGAGGGACAGATTTAAACTGATATAAAATAAAATTAATGTAATATGGTGCGTTCCTGGGGTTTAAAACCTTGGGGTTGTATTGATATTAATATTGTTACTAAATATCCTGTTTAATATTGTTATATAAGTTAAGTAATATTGTTTTAAGGCCGCCTGGCTAGCTACCACCATCTTACCTAAGTATGTCACCATAATAACAATGTTAACAGCATTGTTAAGTTCTGGCAGTTAGATGTAAGATTAGCCAGTTCCTCCGTGGTTTAGGATTCCTGGTGAAGCTCGCTTCCATCTTCGGCCTGATCATCATTTACCATCAGGTGAGATACAGGCCAAGTGCTTCCTCGTTGTGGATAAAAAAAATGTATGTCAATGTTTTAGTAAAATCGGATCGTGTAAATGCCGTATTAGGTTGACGCCGTAGGAATTATCGGAACCGCAATTGGTCAAGCGTTATGGCCACCCGCAATCAGGTATTGTGCCAACCACAGGCCTGCCGCAATGCAGTCTCGAATAAGACTTCTATTTACAGTCAGCTTCAAATAGTTCGTGACACCAAAAGTGACCAAAAAGTTGATAACACAACCTTATTCCAATGAGGGCTATCGTTTTAGCGCTCACCAGTTAGCGCCACTGTAGAGTAAGGTCCTGTCACTTGCTAGTAGCGAAGACAGTGGCGCCAACTTGTGAGCGCTAAAGTGGTAGGAGGACTATCGCATTTGCACTCATCAAGATGGCGCCACTGTAGAGTAAGGTCCTGTCAATCGCCAGGGGTGCCAACTGTTAAGTATAAAAACGATGGCCCTCATTGTGACAAAGACGTGTTGCGAACTTTTTGGCTACTTTGGGTTTCACGAAGTATTTGACGACTGTATAGTCGACAGACATCAGACATACATTTTGTTGCATAGTTAAAACGGGACTTATTTAAAACGGCATCAGGTTACTTAACCTTTGTTTTGTCTCTAGTCATCCGCTCTGCATTAGAGGGAAGTCAAACCTTAACTTCGAACTCCTCCTATGTACTTCTGATTAATTTCGTTGCAGGTCCAATGACAGTAACTTTCCTCCGGGACAAACTTGACCTTCACTGGTTGGGTTTTTATTGGCGGTCAAGCTGTAGATGATATGTAGAGCTTACTTTGATGTGTCATCGTCTGTGCAATATAGGCTATGCTATGGGATATAAGATTTTAAACTTTCGCGTTCCATTTCAATTAAGTCTGCTTGTGACCACGGCTGCAGCATCGCAGCTGAAACGTCAAGCCGTGAGTACATAATGTAACTCATTAATAAACGTCGCGTTAAGACCCGTGTCTTACTATTTTATGCTATGGGATATTGCTCAATATGTTGCAGATACTTGTCAAAAATTAACTTAGTCAGTTGCGAGCGAGTGAGAGAAGCAAACGTGTTGCAAAAGCTGCGGAAGTTGTAGTCAACAAATTCTTTATACTTAGTTTATATTAATTTCGAGCGCTTTAATTTTACATGTTAATTTTACTTATTTTAAGGTAATGGACACCAACATTCTTATTCTGAACAGCTCGTCTAGTAGACGTAAAGTATTTCTAGAAAAATTAATTTACTTATTGCTTATTATATTATTTAAGGAATAAAATCGTAATATAAAATTCACATGTGAACATAAGTTCGTTGAAATCACATATTTTTCCTCAAGGTACGGATAAGGGATTTACATTTACAGTTATTATTTTGCATATTTTTACCTTATACAAATAAGAAAAGGTTAAGTGTGACTTCACGCGAAGTAGCATCATTATTTGTTCACATTTTTGGTCTTTTTCTAAACGTAACATGAAGTTTACTCTTAAAAAGTTTTACTTGAATTGTTACAGTGCAAAATTTAAAGTAATAATATGTAGATAAGTACAAAAAATAACCGCATACTGGCCATATTTGTGATTTTTTTTAAATCTTTCGAATAATCCTTTGGCATTACAAAAAAATATTAAACAAAAAGTTTTTCATAAGCTGTAGTGTTCGTACGTTTTATAAATATTATAAACATTATAAAAGCTATATCTACACTTAGATAATAAGCACATGATTGCATATGGACATAAACTGCAATATTCGAGCTAAGTAGGTAATATTGTCAAACGTAAATAATAAATATATTTTACAATAGCAATAAAACTAAATTGGATCCTCTCTTTCTTGAAATGCGTACTGGTTCACAATACAATAGTCTATATTTTATATATAGTAACCATACATTTAATAGTCAGTAAACCTATTTTAAATTCATATTTTTGTTGCTAACTATAAAATGCTCACTTGTAAAAGCACTCTGATAAATAATAGTCCTGTATAATGTTTGTTAGTTAAGTAAGATACAAAACCAGTCTCTATGTTTTTCTTTTCGTATGTGATTCTGAATTTGTTTAAATTAACCTCCAAAAGCAGCAGAAAATAAAAAAAATCTTTCATTAATTGTATACATTGAATATTTAATAAACGTTTTTTGATTTGGATCATATTTTAAAATACTTTTCTTGTACGTTCTACCTATTTCCAAAAATGTAACTAAACGTACAAGAAGGATGTTCTTATAAATTGTTCTCACTTCACCATCATAATCGAGTAGGTCATCTTCATAGAAACGCACGGGCGCGGTTTGTATGTGAGCGCGCAAACACGTATGCGGCGCGCACGCACACACTGACAAAATTTAGCGGGGATTAGCGGAGAGCCAGTCGTGGTTGCGCCGAATTTTGTCCAGCAGTGGACGTCTTTCGGCTGAAACGAACGAACGAACGAACGACCTACTCATTTGTATTTACTCTGGTAATACTATCAAATCAACTTAGAGGATCCAAGAACTAAAGTTATTCTCACAAGATGTCTTCGTCTACCGTTTTGCTCTTCATCCTGTACAACTCCTCGGCCTCCTCGATGGTGTCTGGGAGCCTCATGTTCCTCGTCTCCGGCAACATGAGGACCAGCAGGCTGGATATCATGCACATAATGCCAAATATCACTGTTGGCATCGACTTGTGGTAGAGCGACTGTAAAGGAATGGACAGATTAGAATATAAGATCGTTTTTATGTAGAATGTTGCCAGGACGAACAGAAATACAGGCTCGCACTCAGGAAAAGTTAATAGATCGCATATAGAGCCAATCTTCTAACTCTACACGTCCTAATCAATACTCATTATTATACTATGCCCTAACTCTACACCTGAGTCAAAATGTGACACGGCCAAATGAGGGTCAAATGAGCGTAAGGTGAAAAAAAACTATTTACCTATTGTTCATTTCTTTCATACAAAGTTCGTGTTGTTCAGATAAAATTATCGGATTTCAAAAATAGAGAAACAACGTTGGCCTTCGGAAATTATCAGAATATAGATAGATACATATTTTGCAAATTAGCATATATTTTATCCAAATAAGACGCCATACTTAGCGACTGGTTGCTTACCGAGCACAAAAAATCGTTAAACAACGCAATGATTCATTACTGGTCTCAGATCCACTGGAGATAATCATTAATTTATACTTTTTTTAATTTGACCTTTTGGGTTTTTTACAGCATTTTTAAGAGTGCGTCTTGTGACTTATTAGAGGCGTCTGTTTTGACTTTGAGAGCACAAAAAACGTATTAAAGCAAAAATTATTGATTTTTCAATAACAACAAGATCTGATCCGATCTTCTGACGTCTTTTGATAAAGATTAGAATAAAAACCTAATATTGAAATTTAAAACTGAGAAACATACTAACAGGGAATCTACTATAGTTGAAGACTAAACAGGAATTAAAAACTACTTAAAGTAGAGTTATGCAAGATTAAAGTATTAAAATTCTACGGAACTTTACACACTCCACTTCTGTGGCGCTATATTTTACTATCTATGAAGAGTAAACGGATTTCCGAATGGAAACACATCTCGTTCGACTAAAAAAGTGCAGGCTGCCCATCTGCTCGATAGATCGACGGCCTCTAGAAGATACCTCGCAGCTGGATATAAAAAGTGGTGGTGTTCTTTGTGAGGCTTACTGGCTTAAATCATTACTCTGTTACACACCAATAGAGGCGTCACTGTAACCACCTAAGACTTGATCCTGTCTGCGGTAGAGTCCAAAATGTAGAATGAAAGGGGTTCTCCGATGGAGACCATTTTACGGCAAACTTAGCGCCAGACTACTCAATGCATCTTCGTCTTCTGGAAGATATTTGGCTGTAGCTGGATGAAATGATGGGTTGTTCTATATGGCGCTCTTTGACAGACTTACGTCTTTGGAAGGCTGAAATGTTGATGACTTACTAATAGAGGCGTCACTGGAGCTACCAGAGACCCGATCCTATATAGATAGAAGCTAGAAGAATAAAGCAGGAGGTCGTTCTTTGCGGCGTTGTTTGGACGCAAGTTCAGCAGCCTTGTAGATATGGACGGCCATTTGCTGAAATCTTGATGACTCACCAATAGAGGCGTCACCGGAGCCACCAGCGAGCCGATCCTGCCCGCAGTAGAACACACACTGATGAGTGTCTGCCTCATGTTGGTGGGGAACACTTCGGACACGTAGATGTAGACCGAGCTGTAGGCCAGCGTCACGCTCCATTTGCCGATGAGGTACAGCGGGATAGACCACCAGTCAGCTACGAGAAAGAGGACAGTTATAGCTGTTAATTCAAAGTTCAAAGATTTCTTTTATGCAGGACAAGGCAGGTATTTCACCGGAATGGTACCGTGTTAAGTAAGATAGACGCATAATGGCAAAATAGAAATAGGTACCTGTGGCATATTATTGACGGGATTGCTACCATGTACCTTAATCTCACCCGCCAGTTTCTTCAGTTACTTCGTGATCGCAACAGTGCCGATATATCGGAAACTCGATATTAAGGTACATGGTAGCATCAGAGTAAATACAAATGAGTAGGTCATCTTCATAGAAACGCATCGAGCGCGGTTTGTATGTGAGCGCGCCAATACGTATACGGCGCGCATTTACTCTGGTAGCATGGTGAAGGTGTCGGACTGGCCGACTCGTGATCCGAGGAACGCGGATTCAATCCCCGCTGCCGCTCGATTATTGTGGTGAATCCACCCGTGACACAAGCATACGTTAACTGGAGTATTTATTAGTTTTTAATATTATTCAAGAAATAATGTTTAGTCTGTCGAATTCACACCTACACCGTCTTCCTGAGGATCTTTGGCATTTTATCCAGATGAGAGTCCAATATGAGGTCATTTATGGTTAAACACTGATTTCATTTACAGAGGACGTTTTGAGCTATTTGTATGGATTTTCCTCTTTTAACGAGACACATGAAAGGTCGTTGAACTAAGTGATAAAAATAATTACAGTAGTTTAAAAATAAATGGCGTTCGTTCTATTATGTAATTAATATAACTTTACTAAATTCTTGTTCCTTATGAAACTTCTACTCGTTGTTGTGGATTTCTTTTGTCATTAGTTTAATTTTAATCACGTATTAGTTATTTATTTATCAAATAACAAAGCACAACAATTATAATTTTCATATTAATATAATCATGACAAATGAATCACGTAATAAACGTCATTCCCTCTGTATCAAAGTTCACGAAACTTGATTCATCGGTTTAGGCTTAACAATAACCAGACGTTTTACGTGTTCATGAACCATTTTACTAGGTCATCATTAGTACTTACTCTCTGAAAAATAAGCAAAACTTATAACTCCACTAAAATTAACGGCTTAGTTGATTATTCAAGTGAATGATACCTAAAAATAGAATGCAAATGATTATACAGCCCATAGTTGATTGGTAAGGGTTGTCACATCTTATAAACAAAGTTTTATTAATTTTATTTCACTTTCAGTAATGAAAAACTGGTTAATCGCCACTAAGATCATGTAATACGAAATAATTAAGAAAATCAGCAATGTAAAGCAGCAATGTGTGACAGTATAAGCACTTTGGTATTATGTAGCTGTAATAATTTATGTGCTAAAAAAAATGTGCGTTTGATAAGCTGTCGAATAGTACAATAGTCTGAAATCAGGTAAACATTGTCTTTGTAAATAAATTCAACCAAACATCTACTTGAATATTATATTTTTACGTACACACACACTATTAATTACTGACCTACAGATCAGTATCACAACGCCACGTAGGTAGGTATGAGTGTCGTTCTTGATATGGAATTTGTATTTCTTTAGCTTCAAACGATCAACACAAATATTTCTAACTATTGCTTCCGCGTAAAAAAACTTGTAACTTGAAACTGACAGCCCTACCAATGACATGATTACTCATTCGCATAGTAAACACGCGTGCAGTGTTGACATTGACATTATTAGGCAACTCGTAGAGCAAACTGTAGTGTGTGTTCATACACGCGAAGCCAGGAGCGATCGTAGTGGACCGTGTAATTCGCTTCCGTGCGCACTTTTGGACAGTTTACGTCAGATTTTATTTTACATTTTACTCGTGTACAGATAAAAAATTGAACAAAATATTTTAAAACATGTAGTGCTGTAAGTCATAAAAAGTGAAGGTAGGTCTTTTAATAACGCCATCAAAAAGGTATTTAGAAATATCAGCTGAACTCTTTTTATACGCTTAAAATAGAAATGTATTGGTATTGTAGTAATTTTCATAATAAAATTGGGGGTTACCTATGTTCAGCAGTGGACGTCCTATGGCTGAGACGATGATGATGATGAAGTTTCATAATGTGTTCAGTGAATCATGTTATCGGTTTTATTGTAAACATGATAGTATAACTACCTAAGTCGGACACTTGTGTAACCAAAAGTTAAGTTAACCAAACATTTTTTTATGCAATTTTCCAGCATTTTAAAAAATGAAAATAAATGAGTGCTGAAATTAGTCTGCAACTTTGTTATAAACGTGAATGAGGCTTTAGAGTAATATCAATTATGCAATTGGCAAATATTATTTTGCAGTTTATCAGTGGTGCGATAGCTGATAAATATTTACTGAGTAAATAACAATCGAACGACTCTAGCACTTGTGGCCAGTTACACTGTCTCCATTCGGAGGTCTGTGGATTTTCAGTTGGGACTTACTTACTTATTCATATTGGAAGATCGTGATTTGTTAATCACATCTTATTATTGGCTTAAATTCGTGATTAGCTAAACAAGCTTGTGTTACGAGTGGGTTCACCACAATAGACCAGCGGCTACAGGGATTGGCTAAGTAAAAAAAATCATGAACCTACCAAAGAATGTATGAATTTACATATAATTTTCTACGCTTATTTAAACTTATATGAACGTGAGCCTTGTAAGAGTTTGTATGTATTCCGAAGTAAGTTAAATTGCTATTATTAAACCATGTTGAGTTTACGGTAAATAAAGTGATTTTTATGGCATTTTAACACGCGCGGTAGAAAAATACTTATTTAAATTGCATTCTTGCGCCTATCTGTAGTGCTGACGCTGTACCTTGACAGATTTATAAAATTCTTTGGTAAAATACGACTTTTGTCAATTGATTTTGAAATCTCTACCAAAAAAACTTACAGTTCAAAATCCATTGAAAGAATAAATATGCAAAAATACTCACATCTCGGCAGAAACGCGAACAGCAAGCTGGTCACAGCGCACGTCACATAATTCGCGATCAGCGTCTTTTTCCTCCCATACTTGTCTAATACAATCACAACCACGATATACGCCGGTATCTCCACAAGGACTACCAGCATGAAGCTCACATACTTATTGCTGCTCAATGACACTGAGTTGATAGATAAACCGTAATACACTAATGAGCACGTCATCCACAGAAACGAGCATATAAGCAGTCGCTTCCAAATGATACTGGAGCGAATCGCTTTTGATAACTGGGATTTTTTATCATCAGTCTGATTTTGTGGCTTCAATAACGGATCAGCTAAGCCGTCAAGTTCCAATTTTCTCGGGTCGAGGTTGTTGATTTTGGCTGCCTTCTTCAAGACATCGACGGCTTCATCTCTCCTGCCTTTGCTGAGCAGCCAGCGTCCGCTCTCGTTCATGAACCAAACGTACATGACGACAATGATGGCTGGGCTGTAGAGGATCATGATGTACGTCCGCCAGTTGTCGACTACCCACGCTAGGAGGGCGATGAGGACAACGCCGATGACGAAAGTCATGTTGCACATAGCTGAGACTATTACGCGCTGCTTCACGCCGACCAGCTCGACAACTGTAAGAAAAGATGTTTGTTTCAACTACATAATTATTATTTACATAAATACTATTGTACTATGATGTTATTTCAGATAATATTTACTCGTACATAGCTATACCTACTGCCACGATGATATTCCTTATTTAATCAGGGGGACGGTCTGTGTTTTCTGGCTGAGTGCCTCAGTCACTTCTCGTATAATATGTTCTGAGAAAAATTCCGCAGGTACCTACATTGAGTTCGTTCGTTCGTTTCAGCCGAAAGACGTCCACTGCTGGACAAAGGCCTCCCTCAAGGATTTCCACAAAGACCGGTCCTGCGTAGCTTGCTTCACCAGATCGACGTTCTACCTAGTGGGAGGCCTGCCCACGCTACGTCTTCCAGCTCGTGGTCGCCACTCAAGAACTTTCCTGCCCCAGCGGCCATCAGCTTTTCGAGCTATGTGCCCCGCCCACATAGCACAATTGAGTAATTCTATCAGATTATGGTCTCTAATTGTTGCCCACATTCTTTGTTGTGTATTTTTTTTTCTACTATGGCAATAAAACAGATAAAATTGTGCATCGATATTTTCATTCCTGCTGTTAAATATGTTGTGACTAGTTTTAAATGTTATTGCCTGGCTCAAAAACCGGAGGTTGACAATTTAGAAAGACAGGCTGTTTTACTTAGTCACTACTAATAAAATTCTTATGATTGCAGATAGGTAGCCTTTAATTATGCTTTAGCAAAGTAAATTTGATTCCTAAGTAGATTGACCTATATGCTTCCGATAAATGCTATAATTAACTAAACGTTATTATCTTCGTCTTGCCTACCAGTTAGGTAATTAACAAGTCTTAAACGGTCTAGCATTTATGTGTGTACTATTTGATATCTAAATTGAGTTGCATGAACAGTTACAGCATTAACAGTAGGACCTATTAGTATTTCTAGGATTTACGGGCAAGACACAATCACAACTTGAACTCCTAATAACCAAGTAACTAAGGTACTGGACCGACGACCTCCTAAAGGTAGCGGGAAGGCGCTGGATGAAGGCCGCCACCAACCGGCCATTGTGGAAATCATTCGGGGAGGCCTATGTTCAGCAGTGGACGTCCTATGGCTGAAATGATGATGATGATGATGAAGTAGGTACTGTAGACATAATTTTGATCCAGCAGAACTGTGATTGTCATGTGAAACGGAATCAAAACGAATATTCTTGTTAGATTTATTACTAACGCTACTGATATTTACTACCAATATAAAAGTGAAGTTAAATTGTTACTGTAAAGATAAAAATTTCATTCTAGGCCTACTAGTTTCAGCATACAAATGCAAATTCAACTCTATGGAACAGTGAATTGGGTCAAATTCATCTTGCAAGATTAAATCTTCCGACATTCAAAGGAATAGTTAGAAGTAAATAAAAGCTGTAAAAACAAACTTACTGAAAACATAAGCAGACGGGTACAGTCCGCCTCCGAAGCCAGCCTCAAAGAAATGCAAGATCAAGAACCCGATGTAATTCGGCGCGAATGCTCGCGAGAATCCGAAGATGAAGCACGCGCACGAGGCGAACCCGACGGCGACTTTTCGGCCGAATCGGTCTGAGATCGCGCCAGTGAAGAGCATGGCTACGAACATTCCACAGTTGTGGATGGTGCCCACTAGGGCGCGCTTCCATTCTTGACAGCCTAGGTCGAACTGAAACAAAAAAGTTAATTAGAATTCAAGTTTTTAGCTGAGATTCTTTCAGAAGCGACAATACTCTAACGATATCAGAGTCTGATAACTTATTCAAGGGTTCGGTAGTACGAACCCTGTTGCCGCAGAACTATTATGATAAATCCATTCCTAAAACAAGCTTAAATGTATATCACTAATTAAAAAAAGCTCCTTAGGGCGGGTTGTGCTTGAAGCAACGGATAAGTAGTGATGTACCGCCAATCATATGGCTTGCTGAAGAATTTCAGTGAGTAGGCTCTACCTTTCACAAATATCCAGCACCACCTACACCTACAAAAACCTACACCTAAATAACAGAAACTTACTTAAAATCTTCATGCACTTTCCAGAATAATAAAATACCTAGCGTAATAAAAACCATCAATACTCGTATCACTCTCTGATCTGATCTGATTAAGTAATAAATAAGGCCCGAATGACTACAGTAGCAATGGCAGTAAAAAGCAGTTTTGACGTAATTAATTGCTTATTTTATTGTTTCAGAACTTTTTATCGCGAATGATTGTATATTCATTCAGTAAAAACAATGTTCAATAAAGTTGTATCGATATTTGATAGTCTATAAACTACAATGCGTAATTTTAATGCTTTATTTAGTTTGATTTTTCATTTAATCAAATGAGAAACTTTAGGAACGTCTTATGCTGCGTCTAATGTGTAAATAAAGTTACAAAGCACACAAGGTGGACCTATAGGTAGCAGGAAGGCGCTGGATGCAGGCCGCTACCAACCGGGCGATGTAGAAATCATTGGGGGAGGCCTATGTTCAGCGATCGACGTCCTGTGGCTGAAATGATGATGATGATGGTGATGATGATTAGACTTTAAAAATAGGCTTTAATGGCTCAATCGGACCGACAACTTAAAGTGCTTTCTTCGACTTGAAGAGAGCCCATAGAGCCCATATTTATTTATTTCATGCTCTTACGCCCGTTTTTACAAACGATGCTTGCTTAAGTGAAGCAGCAAAAACGCACAACGTTGAATAGAGCTCTGTGATTGGTTTGTGTGTCACCCTGTGCGTCCACGCGCACTGTGAGACCTCATAGCAATGTTTGTAAATACGGGAGTTAAATAAAATCAGAACACTTACCTCTTTCACAAAAGAGTGTTCCTCTTCATAAACATAGCTAGAACACTTCTCAGTCTTATTGGAAAACTCCTCTTTCACACATTGCAGATTATTCACATCTGTGGTGTTCATTACAGAGTATCTCAGGCAAGACAATGGCTTTTGTGTGTCTGGGTCTAGGGGTATAGCATGGTTCAGCCAGGAGGTATCGTTCAGTTTGAATCTGTCTTCACAGCCGTCCACTTGGCATCTGAAAAAAGTTTAGTTATTAGTAACAATAAATACGTACACAAAAATAATGGCGTTAGCCCAACCAGTTATTATGTTATTATATTGTTATTATTATGTTGTGTTTCGTGGTACGTAAGAGCAGTAGGCGCACACCGTTGAATTTTAGTTGGCCGATAGTTGTGCCCGATTTTAATTTGTATGAAGAATCGGCCAAATCGAATCGGCGAAGTGTGCGCAGTCCCATACATGCCCATACTGATCAACTGCCCGACTAAATAATCGGCCGATAAAAAATCAACGGTGTGGCGCGCTTACTCTTATTGTACTTGAGATACAGGGTGAAATTGTGAAATTATATTATTTACAAATTAATGTGAATGAAGAATGTTCACTAATTTTATTTTTTAGCTTTCTGTATTCTCTGTTAAAAATAAAAAATACACGTGAAAGAATTATTTCGATACGTCAATTAGTTTCCAAGATATTGAATTTTAAAAGTGCGGGCGGCGGCCGGCCCGCCATTTTATGCGCGTGACGTCATATTACAACGACTGGCTCATATTTGTATGGGAAGAATCTTGCAAACTGAATTAAGACCCACTTCCAGGCAACCGATTAAGCTGAAATTTCGCAAACACATGTGATTTGGATGACCATGCAATATTATGATGACATGGAGCTGATCTGATGATGGAGCTGGAAGGTGGCCATAGGAACTCCATAATAAAACGACTTAACTCCATCGAGTTTAGGCTCGTTCGTTTTGTATTGATGAGTATTTTAATTCTATATAGTAATCGGGGTCTAATGATGGAGCTGGAAGGTAATTCGCAATAAAACGACACAATCGCATCAAGTTTGGGTTTGGTTCAATTTTAATTTCTGTGATGGGTCTGGGTGTTAATATGTATAATAAGTTTGTATTTACAAAAAAAAAATATTTAAGTATGTTTATATCCGTTTTCTAGTGAGCGGACGCTGTGAATGTACGTCACACGGGGTCAAGTGACCGTCGGCGGGACTCAATATTTAAGCGAACTTTGAATGCCTATAAAATCATAACTACTGGGTATTTTTGAATGAAATAAAAACTAATGTATTTGTAAATGTAAAAGCTTAACTGTAACATAGGTTTCAAGTGATTTTGCATACCTAGTAACATTCTCAATTGTGAAAACTTGCATACTACGTGAGAAAATTGCGAGTTGAGAGCGAGAATAAAAACAAAAGAACATCGATATTGATCGTCGAAAAAAGAATGAAGTTTCTTTATGTCCAGTATTGTCACAGATTTGGATTTCAAATCTGAGTAGTGTTTTATTTTCTTAGTGGCCAGTGTCGCACGGCCAAGGATTTAAAATCTATGAGTATTGTTGTTTTATTATTTTAGTGGCCAGTTTCGCGCGGCCAAGGAGGCAGCAACTTTTGTTTTTTTGTAGCTAGATTAGGTTCGGTTATGATGATGATGGTAGAGAAAAGGCCGTGTGCAGCAGACAAGACTTCAAAAACAATAGGTGCGATTTTGCAACAAAATATTCTTTGATAAACGTGTCTGTATGTAAAGAATTTGTGCTGTCATCAGTACATCAGATCAGTTTTGTTGGAAAATATACCTTATTACAGCTTCACAAGATGCTTTAGCTAGATGTGCTGTCATGTTTGTACACCGCCTACTGCACTTGCGTCAACTGTGACTTTATCGTACTTTGATCTCGCTGCTCATGCATAATTGTAAATCGATATTTATCTACAAGATAAGCTTATCAGCTACATCTACGCGTTATCAGACACGTGTATTAATCCAATATGTTAGCTAATTAATTTAAAATATCAAAATTAGTACTCTGATTACATTTTTTATAAGATACGCTATCTTGTAATTAACGATGATATTTCAAAATAGAATTGTGTAAGAAATAAAATTGTTGAGGCAATCAATGAAATGCAATATCTTCCAGTAAATTTATGGACAACTATAATTCATATTTTGTAGCAAAACCAAAAAATAATGGACGTCTTTCCTAAGTTAGTTTAAATTTATTATTTTTGCAATCACAACCTAGTGATTCCCTGTAATTAAATACGTAAGTAATAAAAAAAAAATTATGTTATCTCTTAATCTTACGGATAACATTTTAATCTACATAACTCTTGACGTGACTAAAACAATAGACCATAATCGTTTTTAGGAAAATAGCACCAAAGTTTAAATATTCAAGATTTTTTTAATTACTCAAACTTCTGAATAAGAATTAATGTCTGAGGCATTGCAAAATTGACGTAAGTTTGCTGAAATCAGCATTTTTCTACACGGGGGTGGTGTGAGCAGAGAATCGAACCCAGGAAAAGTTAAAAGTGTATGAATAAATTACTGTAACCACTAAACCAGTCCACAATATTATATTTCCTATGTACTTAGTAGAGTCCTTGGGATAAAAATCACGTATGATAATAAGTGATACAAGTCGACCAAGGAAAACTAAGACTATAATTATATCTAAGAAAATTATGTGGGACAATCAATATAATAACAAAACATCGTAACAATATGAATGGTATGAAACAACGAGAAGTGGGTGGTATTGTATTTAAATTATAGTCATTCAAATTATTACTTGATAAATTGATTGTATCAACTTTATTATTTCCATTTTTTTGTCTATTTATTCAAACTTTATTGTACTGTTTACTTTAGAGTACAATTAGCTAAGTGGTATGGTCTTCCAGCCTTTTTTATATGAAAAATACTTGAGGATTGTATATTAATTTTAATTATTAAAATAATTTAATTATTGCCTATTAATTACTTATGTTCAAAGTTGAACTTGAAGTCACAGTACAGAGTAACAGAGGAGTTTGATGTTGACGACAAGACGTATTTACGTAGGTATGTTATATTACAAATTATTTAGCAAGCAGAAAGTAATAAACTATTGTTTCGAACTTTATTATTTTTACGAAAACCCAAAACTCAACTCACCTGTACGCGATCTCTCTTGCCTCAAAAATGAAACCGCACTCAAAGAAACTACTCAGCAGTATTGGGTACAGCAACAGTACGAAGTTCAGCAGATTGTACCGTCCGTACGGGCCCAGGCTCTCCAGCACCGAGTCTAAATTGATTTCTTTCTTCAACTCCTCCATCCTGATTTCGCAAGTATCGCCGTTAACCCTGCAAATGGATTGGAAAGTTTAAAGGCGGGTTCGTACTAAGGCACATTTTTAACGCTATGTGCTTTCGGTAAAAGATGCGGATGACGATGCGTTTGTCTGTTATATCGAAACAGGTGTTCGATTAGTTCTGTATCATTATATAGTTGACAGCATATCAGATTATAAATGTCTATTTTATTTTATTTACATTTAGGATAACAAACATTGTGCAATTATAATAATTATAGCTAATTAAGGTGCCACTATGTTTAGCTTGATGTACCAGACAGAGTCCAGAGCTTTATTTAACCAATTTTGTTTTCTTCCTCTTTTCATTTATCCCGTACTTAAAGTTGTTCATAACCTTGAAAAGGTTTGGGGGAGGCCTATGTTCAGCAGTGGACGTCCTATGCCTGAAATGATGATGATGATGAACCTTAAAATAAATAATGATCTTTTAATCTTTTTAATCTTTAAAAAGAACACTTTCTGAAAAAAATACTGATAAAGATAACCCTGTATGTGCTCGAAAGATCTCGAAACTCGTGCCCTAGTGCGAACAAGTCCGAACATTAGTAGTTTTTGTAAGTAATCGCCGCTGCAAGGTAAAGTGCACTTGGATTCTTTAGTAATTGCTCTGTTTGGATCGGTTGGGAGTTGGATGAGTTTGTAATGTTCGTGCTGGCGGGGATTAGTGTGGGAAAGAGAAGGCGATAGAATTAAAAGTAAAACAATGGAGTTATAGGGTTATTGCAAAGTAACTACATATTTAAAAGCTTAATAGATTCCAAAAGTTATTTTTTATTTGTTTACATATTTTAAATAGCAAATGTGATTTTTGCAGGTCATAAGATAGGATTTTGAATAACTGCAATATACGCATTCAAATGTGTTTGTGGTAAAAACTAAATAAACGCATATCATATCATTACAACGCTGTATTATGGTGTTAATAAAAGTTGATTTTGCTTCAAACATTACGCTGGCTTTAGTAGAGCTCCGGGCATTACAAATAAGTCTAAAAATAGACATCTCATTCTCCAGCATAATAAATATGTAATATGTATTCAGATTTGTATGCATCTTACATTGTCGCCGTATAACAATTGCTAGACTAAGAATAATAAAAAGGCATCTTGGCCCCTTTATTGCGGACACATTCACCATTACAATAACAATATACTGTTATGAACATACACAAGCATCTTCAATAGTTGGTTTAATTTCCTATCTTCATTTGTTTTTTGATCTAAGCTTGCCTTTGCACGTGTTTACTAGGTAAGTACATAATTATACGTTACACTACAAACTGTATTTGTGCGTGTATTTTTTTTAGAAGGCAGATATAGCACATTGATGTGGTGTTAGAATGATTAGAATTATTTTTTGGAATTTGTCCAGAGATCGCAACTAGCACATATTAAAAAATTGTTCTGTTCACCCCATATTGCAGGTAAATAATGTCATTTTAGTATTTGTTTTGAGTCTAGTCACACTAATCATATATGAAAATGGTACTCTGATTAGGATTAAATAAAAAAAAAACCTAAATAAAAAAATAACTGAAAAAAATCAAAATCAAATCAAATTAAGTTACGCAAATGTCACGGCCTGTGCACCGTTTCAGTGTTATTCTTCGTTATAAATCTCGAATGTAAAATTTACTCATTTCCAGTTTCCAGTACTTAACCCGTCTATGCTCTGGGAGCTATTATCCGGGATAAAAAATCGCTTCCGAACCCTGTATTTCACCCGATCCCGTGAGAACCGTTCGGACTTCATTACATGTGCTCTTATATCAGCACTTTTAGCTCGCGAGTTTAAAATATCTCGAGTTTAAAAAAAAACAAAAGAAGAAAGAGAACAGATTGTGTGTGTGAAACAGTTTCGTGAAGTCAATTTATTTATGCATACGAGAAGTTTAGTCATTTAGCACTTAAAGTGTTATTTAATTATTTTTTTATGAAATGTAGGTAGTATAAATTCTTTTTAATTTCATCTACTTTTTCTTTTTTTCCCTGAGTTATTATTAAAAAGAAGAAAAATAGATTTGGTAGAAAATTTTCCTGATGTCTGACAATTTCGTTTACTTTTAAGCTACATAGTATAAACACAGAATATTAATAAGTATGGTATAAGTTAGCTGGCAATAAAGCCTATGCTTGACTCGCCACTTTTTTTTTCTGGGGTCACTTGTACCCGAGTTAAGCCTTAATAAAGCCTAAGAGCCTTTAAGTGACTCATTTAAAATTGTCTTTACACACATTTGACTTTTATTTTGAATGAATTTACTGTTTTTATTATGAACAAATCACATTGTTTTTAAGCGTTGCTTTATTGCTATTATACGACATTTTACTCGTAAATCCGACTGTAGTTAGTCTATCGAGTAGTGTTATCTTTCAAGACAGATTAGCAGCGTTGTAACCGTTAACAAGCTTTAACCATTAATAGGGCTAAGCCAAGTGAATTAACGCTTAATTGTCATTGGCTTCGTAATTGCTTAATTGCCCTCTTGATCTTTTAATGAGTTTAGTTTGCAGTATGTAGGTATTGTCATTTCTTTGTACCGACTTTGCTGTGCAATATTTGATGGTTATTGAAACATTTTATTCTTCATCATCATCGTCATCATTTCAGCCACAGGACGTATTCTGCTGAACACAGGCTTCCTCAATGATTTCCACATATGGGCTATGTCCGGTTGGTAGCGGCCTGCATCTTTTACCTATATGAGGTACCTAAACAAATATATTGCTGCGACTTAAAACAATTGAAGATTCATGACTCCTTATTCCAATTTTCAGCTCTGGTGGTCGCCCATTTGTATAACTTACTACCATTTCTATGTCTTTGAAAAGCAATTTTGAAGTTTTTAGTGAGTTTTTTATAAGTTTTTATTTCACTTGCTTTAGGTACATTTATTGTTATCCAAATGATCTTATTATTTTAAGGAATACAGCGTTTATAAAATATCTCACACTGAAACATTGGCAGTAGCAGTAATAATTCTTCAAACCAAATTGCTATTGGTTATGCTACCGAGCATACCGTAACTAAGTTGTCTGCGTATATCGAATGCCAATTTTATCACGAAATTGAACAACGCTATGGAACTCTATAATTAAACCCATAACGTTCTAATTGCGACACGGGTATTCGTAACACGTGCAAGTAAATGAAAAAAGTGTGCATTTTTGAAGAATTTAGGGTTCAATGTCAAGTATTTTCTAGGTTTAAAACCAAAGGCCTATGTAGAGTCGACAGCACATCAAACTATAATTTTTTTGTTGCAAATTCATCCCTGTTTTTAGCTACATTAGATGCCATAATTGATAAGCTTGACGTGCTTTCATCTGTACTTTATAAAGATAGGATAGGATAGGATAATGCTCACTGAGATTGTGGAACTTACCAACAACTCATTTAGTCGGTTGCGAGTAGGCAAGACGAGTAGACGATGTGGGTAGACTTGAAGGTTGTATTCTACAAATTAACACCCTTGAATTTTACCTACCTCGGGAGCGTCGTGTCAGAGACTGGAGGTACCGAAGAGGACATCACTTCTCGCATTGCCAAGGCTAGAGCCACCTTCGCACAACTTTGCCCCGTATGGCAGTCACGGAAACTGACCCGAAGGGTCAAGATCAAAATTTTCGGGTCAAACGTTAAATCCGTGCTGCTCTATGGGTGTGAAACGTGGAAGGTCACCAAAGTCATCTCGCACCAGCTGCAGGTCTTCGTCAACCGCTGCCTTCGCCGAATTCTCGGCATATACTGGCCTGAGAAAATCTCCAACGTCGAGCTATTGGAACGCTGATACGAAATTCCGATCGACCAGCAGATCAAGCGCCGCAAGTGGAACTGGATTGGCCACACTCTCCGAAGGGATCCCGATCACATCCCCAAGCAGGCTCTGGATTGGAACCCCCAAGGAAAACGCAAACGTGGTCGCCCCAAGCAAACTTGGCGGCGCACTGTGGCAGACGAGGCGAAGAAGATCGGCAAGACTTGGAGCGAGATCAAACATATAGCTCAAGACCGAACGCGATGGAGGACTGTTGTGGACGCCCTCTGCCCCATCTAGGGTACATAGGACCATAAGTCAAGTAAGTCATCTTTACATGAGATCGATAGAACATTTATCACTATTTACGAGCGCATTTTCTTTACGTGATACGCGAGTAATCACTTTTTAAAAGTAGCTGACTCGCCTGCGCTGTGACACAATTTTAATTTGAAACTGCTTGTAAAATATAAAGTTAGCTTAGAAGGCTTTGAAAAAAGAAAACTTATAAACATAATCGATTAAAGGTGAAAAACTTGGTAGAGCTTGGTACGCATCAGTTTTTTACCTATAGATATCACCTATATGAACTACTTAAGTTTGGATTGTGTTGCCTCTTAGTGTTTAATTTCAAAACAAAGCAGATTGATGCCACGATTACGAGTATGACTAATTGACCGCAGTAATCTAATAGCCTGGCCACAGGAGATGCCATAAATTAACTGTAACTAAGTACATGTGTAGAGCTACTCAATACAATAAACAGTAAGGTAATAAAAATATTTATTAAAAAAAAAAAAAATCCCTACGTAATATTATAAATGCGAAAGAAACTCTCTCTGTCACGCTTTCACGACCAATCCACTGATCCGATATTGATGGCATAGAGATAACTTGAGTCCCGGGAAAGGACATAGGATGGTTTTTATCCCGGTTTTTGAAACGGACGCGTGCAATATTTTTTCTGTGACAGACAAAATTTCACGCGGGCGAAGTCGCGGGCAAAAGCTAGTATAAAGTTAACAAATAAATATCATTTTTTATTATCCTACCACTAAGCTATTACATTTAAGCAATAAGTTCGTCTTATTAGATTGATGATTAGTCTTAGTTACGGATTACTAATGTTTGGCCAAAAAACGTTTCCCAAATTATCACATCACAAACAACGTTTCGCAAATTTTCATTTGTCAAATTCTCATTTGGCAAAACAACTTATAGCAAAC